CCAACTCGAGTTGCAACCAGAGTCACGGAACGGACTAAGTTCGTATCCCGAGGTACCACTGTAGTTCTAGGAATGGCTGCAACATAGGGGCAGTCAGAATCAGTTACAATCAGCAAAATGATGGGAGGGAGGGAGGGGGAAGCTGTCCTAAGATTCCTTCCAAGGTACTGATTAACAGATGTCTCGGTTGGTAGCTCCCCTACTAATCTCAGCCTGAGATGAATCTATAAATGGGGATGGAAAAAGACTGAAGAAGAAGAAGAAAGGCAAGCTCATAAAAGCTGGAGAGCAACACGTTAAGGAAAGTTTGCTTTGGCACAGCCTAGAAGAACGTGTGGGTCTCCAGATATTGTGGGATCCTAACTCCAGTAGCCTTAGCTAGTTCACCCAGTGGTGAGGAAAGATGCTGGACGTTGTCACTGAGCAGCTTGCGAAGGCCCATACCCAAGTAATATCATACCTCCAGTACTTTCCAGTTGGCCAAGTGAACTTGGCACAAAGCAAGCCCCATGGCTTTTGTGCCCTCCAAACTAATTTCCATAAGAGGGAGGGCTTCAACTAGAGTAAACTAGACTGGGCTACTCACGTGCAGTGCCCAGAGTTTAGCTAAGACATTACCATTTAGCATGTAGATGGCAGGTTAAATGTGAGATGATACACAATGAAATCTTTCCCATTAAAACACTTTATACCATTGGTCCTTATTTATTTAGACTTATAAGGATTTCATACTCTGCTCTTCAATACACCAGCTTTGGGATATTATTATTATTGTTGCAGTTGCTGCTGCTGCTGCTGCAATAGTAGGACATCTCTTCGGCTGGCTTACCTTGTACAAGTTGATGGGAATGTCGATGAGGATGAGCAGCAGGTCCCCCAGAGCCAGGCTGGCGATGAGGATGTTAGGGCCGTTTCTCATGCATTTGTTCTTGTAGATGATCCGCAGCAAGGTGGAGTTGCCGATGATCCCCAGCACGAAGACCAGGCAAGCGATCACCGTGTTAATGTACTTGAAAGTATTCTTGATCTCAGTCTGGCTGTGGCCGGTGCACATCGGGTAAACAGGGGAAGGCGCTCGGCCAGCCACGCCGGGCGATCCCGCGCGGGAGGCGTTGGAACTCCCTGCGACCGCCGCCGCTTCGCCGGCGGTGGGAGCCACGCTCGTCCAGGAGGCAGCCAGGCTGTGCGAGGGGATCTCGGCCAGGCGCGGCGAAGAGTCGCTCAGCTGCAGTGCGCTGCCGCCGCCGGCGCAGG